CCCCCTTCCCTCCTCCTATCTTTCTTTGCTTTTTGGTGTTTTCCTGAATGCAATACTCAGGATCACCCCTTTCTTTCTGTGGTGTGTCCCTGGACGACTGTTCGTAGCTGGGAGCACCTGCCTTTTCCTTTTCTCTCCTCTCCCTTTCTCTCCCTCTCTCTTTCTTTCCTTCTCTCTTTCCTCTCTTCACCCTCTTCCTTGGGTGTCCCTGGATGCTTCGTCATAGCTGGGAGCCCTTCCATTTTTGGTGTGTCCTTGGACGCTTGTGTCATAGCTGGGAACACCTGCTTCCTTCTCTCCCTCTTTCTCTTTTCCTCCCCTCCCCCCTCTTTCCTCGCGCGCGGCGTGTTTACAAGCAAACTAGGCTTCTGCAACAGGTTTTTCTAATGAGGTTTGGGCTGTCATCGGTTTGTCCCCGTTCATTTGGTGTCCCTTTCATCGGCCCCCACCGACATCTTCTTTTTCCTTCTTTTCTTTCATGTCTTTCTGTCTTCATGTCTCTTCATCCTCATCCTTTCTTTCTCTTGCGCGTACTTTCGTCCGGACCTTAGTTTCGTACAACGAGGTTCAGGTGGCCCAGGTTCGTTACAATGAGGTTTGGCTCATCGGTTGTCCCTCTTCACTTGGTTCCTTTTCATCGGCAACCACGCACACCTTTGTCTGTCTCGTCCTTTTCATTTTCATCTGTCCCTTTTGCGTGCACATGTGCCCGCCTCCTTTCCGGGCAGGATGGAGGCCACACATGCCTCCCTTCGGGGAGGCGTGTGTGTGTAACCCTTGGAATCAAAGGGAACCTTAAGGTTTGGAACAGGGGGACGGGACACCTCTGGCATTTCCAGTCCAACGAAGAGGATGCCAGCAGGTGCTGATACAGTGGGGGACGCCCCACTGTGTACCTGTTCCACTACTTAGGAGAACAGGAGGAAATGGTACTCGACACACTTGTGTGTCGGTGCCTTTCCTCTAGACTACCCTATAGGTTGCAGGTAGGCCTCCAAACTTTGTAAGGGGTTCCACCCACTAGAATGGACCCCCAACTTTTGCTGTTTTGCTGTCTTGTTTGTCTTGTGCTTCCTGTCACCTACTAGCGATGGCCCCCAACCTGCCTTCGACGGCCTCCAACCTAAGAGCGAAGACCTCCAACTTTGACCGCTTTGCTGTCTTGTGGTTTCGTGTCTCCAACCTACTAGCGATGGCCCCTCAACCTGCCTTCGACGGCCTCCAACCTAAGAGCCAAGACCTCCAACCTTGACTGCTTTGCTGTCTTGTGGTTTCTTGTCACCAACCTCCTAGCGATGGCCTCTCAACCTGCCTTCGATGGCCGCCTCTAACCTAAGAGCGATGACCTCCAACTTTTGCACCTTGTTTTACTCAGGTTTTTTAACCTAGGTTGGCGTGTGGCACCGCTTTCAGTTCAGTACACCCTATCCTAAGTGTGTGTGTTATCTTGCGTGCTGATGTGCCAGTTCCCTCTGACTTTCACTCACACCCATTCTCACATTTCCCCATGCAGCTTGCTGCGCCATCTTGGAGAGCTTGCATTGAACGGTGAATTCGAAGTTGCTTCTTCAGACCCTTCGATTCACTTTGTGAGGGTCTTTTCAATATCGTTCTGGCTATCTTTCTAGACATTCCATTTGCTGAGCTTTTATAGATCAAACACAGGTCAAAAAGTGTAGAAGCCAGCAACCACATGCTTGCGACCTCTATGAACCCCTCTCTCTCTCTGTCTCGCTTCATCTCTTTCTGTCTCTGTGTCTCTCGGGGCTGACCTATGATAACTTATGCGCCTGTCCACAAAACAGCTATGCAGTTTGAAACCTCGAGTCTGGCCGAACATGGCCTAACCTACCTGCTTCCCTCCTACTGGTTGCCCTCACCTTCCAAACATCTGTAAATTATGCATCATGTTGATCCTTTTCTGCCAATGTTGACCTGGCAAGCATCTGCGGTCCAAGGATCATCAAGGATCAACCCCCCAAGCTTTAGCTTCTGCCTTTCCACCATTCTCTCGATGATCTGGTAGCGGTTGGCCGCCCCCAACAGCGTGGCACCAGGCTCTGAGACCGGAAGCCAAGGTGCCATCGCATCACCTGGTACCCATCTTCGAAAGGACGGAGAGAAGCGATAGAGTTGGATAAAGGCAAATGAACACAAGGATCCAAACCATTGGTTTCGCTGTCAGTTCTGCAATCCAAACCATTGTTCCAAGTGAACCTGATTGAATCTGGTGCGACGGACGTGCCGTGCCCGTCCTTGCACTCCACCTCCATGGCACTCCTGCCATGTGAGGTTCACATCTTCTAGACTCCCGTTCGTGTGCAAGTCCAAAAGCGGTCGGTGCATCTTCGATGGAGCAAAAGATTACATAAATCCACTGGCCAAAGGCAAATACCTGCATTTCCTGTACAGTCTCCGTCTGGTACAAGGGTTTGACCTACAACAACAACAACAACAACAACATTGGTACTCATGAGACTGGGATAAAGAGCTTCTCGAACTCTTGACATTAGGCCGTCAGCCTCGTCGAAGGCGCGGCCCATGCGCATGACACAGTCGCAGTTCTGCGACAAGTCTCGGTAGACGAAGTCAAAGCCCTGCGGAGCAAAGGCTTTGCAAAGGCACAGTTGTCGGAATGGCACCACTGATCAACTCACACCGATCCGGCACATATCAAACATCGACTGCCTGGCAATCCGGCAGGCTGTTGCACATCTTGAGACATGCTATGGGCGAAGTCCTCCAACACCCCAGCGGGTCTGCTGCTGGTGGATTGTTCATGTTCTGTTAGATTGCCGTACATGGCCTATGCAGAGTTTCGGACTTGCTGGCGAATTGCAATCAACATCTCGTTCCCATGGAAACTACAGTCCCGCTGCCAGGACCACCACGCCATTCAACGCCTGAGTTCTCATCAAGTCAGCTTGTAAGAAACTGAGCTCGGCCCGAGCTCGGCTCAGGATGACAAATAAGAATTGCTGTGGTCAACTCGGAAAACTCCCTCAACATGGTGAAATATCAGTGTCAAATAGTCATGCTTGCCTTGCTTGCAGCCTTCTCCAATCTTGAAGCTGTTGCACAAACTTGCTTGTGAAGGTGCGAGGCTCTCACCTTCCAAACCATCTGCATACCACAAATGAGGACCTGGAGACAAAAAGGTTTCCGCATCCTCACTCCAGCCCTCGCACTGAAAGCCACTCCCTGAAGCAGAGCGCCCAGCAACTGACATTGTCCAGAACGCTGTAAATATTCTGCCAACCCTCGGGATCCTCCTCCTGAAAAAGCTGGCTTGTGGATGGGTAGAAGAAAGTACAGTATATACAGAGATTGTAGAGGCAAGGCTCCAAATCTTAATCCATCTCAAACTCTCAAGGTAATCTCACTCTGAAAGCCCTTTCATTGAGACGCGAACATTCTCTATTGAGCCTGCCTCGATGCCAAACTGGCCATCTGCAGAGCAGCCGTGTCTGGCAGTCAATAAACAAACCACTACGATCTAGACTTCCTTTCGTTCTTCCTTCTGCAGCTCTTCTGCTACCGGTACCTGCCGTGGAGCTCAGCAGTATCGAAGCAACGTACCCGCTCCAAAGGTGCGTAAAGGAGCACCTGGCCAAGAGGAAATAGGGATGGAAACCAGCTCAATAATCAAGAGAACTAACAGGCATCGGCATCGGTGCCAAATCCACTTGCTGTGCCATCTGTGCTGTGATTCCAGACTTCCTGGTGATAGAATCTAACAAGCACTTGTCAAGGAAGCCTCTTACCCATCGGAGATGCCTGGTACGCACGGATGAGATGATCACCCCAAAGAAACCTCACAAAGTGCCAGGTTGAAACAAGGGCCAAAACAAGGCCTCCCGGTCATGTTTCCTCGTAGCCAATGCGCGCAGCTCACATTTGAGATGTGCTTGAGTGTCAATTCCAATCCTTTATTTTCGGGTGCAACCCCTGATTTGTGCTTGGGCTGCTGAGGCCATTCGCCTGTAATGCCCCAAAGCGCCCTCCACCTTCCACCAAATTGGCACCAAATCACAAACGTCCCAGACAGTGTTTGACCAACGTGGCGGCCAGACCCGCTTGCTGAAATGCATCAGAACTGGGGAGGTGAAGAAGTCCAAATCTAAGACCTCCAAGTCTCCAATTCCAATGAGTTCCAATGCATCACAATTCTTGGGCTGAGAGATTCAGATCTGGCTTGTTGAGATCCACTAGCCCACACATTGAATGCATCAAAGTTAATCACTTCACCGTCACATGACAGGTGACCGGGGACCCTGGTTGACTCCCAACAAGACTTGCGCACAAATCCTCGGGTCACCTAACAGCCCTTCAGTAGCTTACTGGGTACTGGGATGTCGGCGTCGGTGAAATACTATCTAAAATCTAAGGGCATATCATGGATCCTGCTGCAAATATGGTACCTTAGGCGAAATTACATCAAACAGCCAAGAAACAAACCCTAAACACCAACACGCAACAAGAAGAAAACACTGACCAAAAAATACCAAGCGATACTTGCACAACTGTCTGAACACGCCACCGCCGCTGAACCCTTCGCACATTGAGAGGGTGTTGGGGTTTATTGGCATGTATCTTAGTCACAGTTGGCAAAATGTGCCCCAATCTTGCATGGTGTCATGGTGTGCGCAACATTATCCGTCTGAGATGGGCCTGGTTCCGTCACCTTGTGCCTGGGGTCAATCTACCAAAATCACCATAGTTTATATAGTGGTTCCTTGCTTGCGATGCTAGGTTTTGACCAACAGCCAGATCGCAGGGGGGGCTTTGACCCGTGCCGACATTACGTTCAGACGTTCAGCACTACACCAGAATGCCAGTGTATCATTCTTAGCTGTAGCCCTGCCTCCCAGGCCGTTCCCCATGTCAGCGATAGAGAGCCCAAGGGCACTTCAATCATCCTCTCAGATTTGTTGTATGGATCCTGGACCGGAAGAACTGCTGCCTTTCAAGTTCACCTTGAGGCTGCCCGAGGCTCACACAACCTGGGTGATCGTCTTGCCAGCCGTGGAAAGCGCAGCGACGGGATTGGGAAGCCTCGATAATTCACAAGTGTTCCGCGGATGCGGAGGATGCGGAAGCGAGTAGAAGATACCCTTCAGGGTTCACAAGCTCCGGATGCCTGCCCGAGCTTCTGGTTGTATAATGAATCAGAGCAACTTCCCATGTTTCAGAATCAACCACAACAACAAGACCCGAAAGAGAAGGTTGTCTGGAAGGTGGGTGAGATGCTGATACACGGTTGTCAGCTCTCCTGTGGCATGGAACCCAACCCAACATGTCTTTTCCTCGTCTGCGCGGATCACGCTCCGAGGCCACGACTCGATATCATTCAGAAGGACCCACCTGGGATACATGTCCCACTGACAATTCATCAAACAGGAACGAGACCTGGGAACTCAGCCACCGACTCCTTGAGGAAGTTGGACCACCTCGCTGCAAGTCTTCAAGGTCCCCAAACATGCATCCGGTACAATGTCAAAAAGAGACGCGGTCATGACCGAACAAATTGTAACTTTGTATACATATATCTGGCTGCTGTATCTTGGAAAAGTGGAAAAGTGGAAGAGGCGGCTCTTCCGCCCAGCCACCCTTTGGTACAACCAGGGTCTTCCAGGCCAACCTCAAACAGCCTCAGGCGCTGAAACTCGCTAACTTGACATTGAGGTTCAATCTCCAGCAATAAGGCCAAGAGCAGGGCCCATAGACATAATCCTTTCGTGCCATCTCCTCAAGCAGCGACCATGTATGTTCCGATGGTACTACTGCAGAAATCTTGCTCGCATGCCGTATACCGTATAACCACTAATTACTCCTGGAAGGGATCCAGCTGATCTGATCCTGCCAAGCGCATAAGAGGTGTGTCTTTTCCGACCAATCCCAGCACACATGGGACACCCACCCTCTGCCGGTTTGGAAACCTAAAGCAGTAAGAGCAATGCCTATCCTCTCTACAAACTCTATCTGCCCTGATCTATCTGAAATAAATTTGGATTGCAAAATTGCAGCAATTGCAGTGTCACTCCAAGGCACAACGAACCTCTCACACCACACTAACTGATCTGGTGCATGTACATACTGACATATAGCATCAAAGCTACACAAGCATGGCATGTCATGTAGAGTTAGGGAGAGAGAGAGAGAGAGTAGTATTTGGATGTGCACATACTTACGTTTGGAGCTTCCTGATCTTCCCGTGCCTTCACACCGAAAAGTTGCATCTGAGTCCAGGTGCAACAAGTATCGCCTTGCACTCTGTGTGGGACGACGCTTATGAATCCATTGGTTCTGGAATCTCTCGCATCGAGACAAAAAGGGCATTGTGAGTGATTCCAGGCCAATGTCTGGACCCTGTTCGTCAATATAGCTCCTGTGGCCCATCAACTTGACTTGTCGGCTTGTGAAAACATGAAAATATGAGAACAGTTCAATCATTCCTGAAGGGTCAAATCTTCAACACAAGACAAAACCCTATTTGACAAAGGTGTCCATCGCAACCGCTCGGATTTGGGCTCACACGTGTGCTGAAAAACTGGAAGCGTCAACACGGTCGAGCTCTGAAAGCGGCACATGTGTCGGTAGCCAGCCTGAGGTATTTTGCTCAGTCACACGGCTTTCTAAATTCAATGTGCTGCATTATCAACTACAATGTATCAAACAACAAAACCGTGGTTCGTTGCAACCATTTCGCAATTCCTCAAGCTACTGACCATTCACCTACCTCTTGCCCTATTACTTAAGCCACTTAGGTCCTTCCCGCCTGAAAGCGTCTTGGTTTGGCCTTGCGGATCTCTGGGGAGTTGGTCAAGGTGGCGTCAAACCAGAGCCTCGAATGACGCTCCCAAAGGAGCTTTGGAGCCTGCAAGCCTTGCCTACCTTACAGACCATTGCATCTAATGGCATCACCAGCATCTCCCTTCAAACCTTACATCTGGGTCTGTGCAAGATTTGCAAGTGTGAATTCAATGGCTCATGACACACTTTGCAATAGCTCATCTGCGACGGTTTGAGCTACTCGGAACTCAGCAAGTTGGCCAAAGGGACAACTCAAGGTCATGCAAGACTTTTATGAACTGATATTATACAGTGCGAAGCGAACTGAAAATGCCATTAGATAGAATCTTTAAAAAAGGATGATGAACTCCCGATTATTTGCAAATATGCGTTGAAATATGCTGTGCTTGGACGTACGCCACTCACTATTGACATATTGTTGCCCTTTCTGGAAGGCCTCTAGAACCACCTCCAATACCTCCAAAGCGAAGGAAAAGCCAGTCTATTAGAATTTATCCCAGACAGCGAAACTTTTGGGGTCTTTAGCCATAAATAGACTTCAGAGCAGATCGGAGCAAGCTTCAGAGCAGGCTCCGGAGGGTTCTGGAGGAGGTTCCGGAGCAGGTTGCGGAGGAGGTTCCGTAGCCGGTTCCGTTCCAGAGCAGGTTTCGGAGGAAGGGGGTTCGGAGGAAGGTTCTGGGGGAAGGAACTGGAGAAAGGTCCGGGGGAACGAGATGATGCTTCTTGTTACTACTAGTAAGGCACCTGTTACTACTAGCGTGGCACCTGTTACTAGTAGCTTCTTGTACCAATATACTTGACCAAATGACATTCCGCAGCACTGCAGCAATGAGTGTGGTGATGTTGGTTGGTTTCCTGGAAATCTTTCGAGGCGAGCCCGCTGTGAAAAGGTAGGCTATGCATCAGCATGAAGCTAAATGGTTTGTGACATATTATTTTAAGAACACACAACATGTTTCTAGCTGTTGGGGATTTTCTTTGGGCTTATTGACTGGAAAATCTAGCCTGACATCCCCTGAGCTCATCACAGATCATCTTGGTCGATCTTCACCTCGCAGGAAATCAAGGGCAAGTTTGATGGAGCGGGTATGTTTCTTTTTGTCTTTGAGCCACTGATTGCATAATGCTACCAGCCACAAAAGCCCTGGCCTCACCACAACACCAGATTCACCACCCTCCTAGACCCACCTTTTAGAGATGTTTACTGTTTACTGCCGATGCCCAAAAGATCCAAAAATAGTACTATCTCTCTTTCTCTCTATCTATCTATCTATCTATCTATCTATCTCTCTCTCTCTCTCTCTCCTCTTCAGGAGACAGCATATGCATCAAATGAGAGAATCAATCACCTTGTCATTGCCCTGTTGCCCTTTCTCCTGCCTTGGAGTCACCCACTTCAACTCGCTGGAAGTCCTCGGATACGTCCAGGAATCGCAGGTCCATTCCTAGAGCATCCAAACAATGGCCTCTCTGAATATGATGAGTGCTATGACAATGTGTCCTCGTAATATCGATGTTTGCAATGTTTACAAACAGGACAGGTGAGCTCTCATGATCTCATGTGTCAAATCTCTGAACCTGTTTGTCTCTGCAACAACAAAACTCTTGAGTCTTAACTTAAGATCCAAAAAATATATATATTAGGAGCCAAATGAGAATGCAAGGGCTTCTTCAAGACAGACTGAGCTTTCCTGCGTCCCAGCCTAAGAAGCTACTTCAGCTAAGTTATTACCCCTGACTTGTTAGCTTGCTTGTAAGCCTACCTCCCTTTACCGTCTGCCCCCGCTTTGTTAAAGGAAAATGAGCTGAGTCAATAGCCATCCTGCGCAAAGCGCAGTCCATCCATCCAACTCAAGAGCTGTTCCTCTTCAGCGCCTTCCATCTGCCTGTGCTGGACCAGTTAAAATTGCTACTTGTGTCTGGCTTTCGCTACAAACTCAGAAGCCTCCAAATGTTGCATCAAAGTAAGTAAGACCCTCTGGGTAAGCAGGTTTCTTAGAAATCTCATTGCTTCACCCACACGCATTAGAGGCTGAAAGCTGAGGCATCTACGCCGTGTGAAGGATGTAGATCGGATAGTTGTGCCTCAAGGATTTTGCCGAGTACTATGACCGGGCCAACGTTGCAAGTTGGAAGCCAAGATTTTAAAGCTGATATACAGTACAGCATTGCTGACCTGTGGCAAATCACTCTCAAACTGCGACAGCACATGCATGTCAAGATCGACAAACAGCGCTCACCTTTTGACGCCCTTGAACGCCCAGGGCAACAGCATGGACCCTCTTCATTGAAGGTCCGACCCACAAACTAAAACCTCCAACACACACAACCACAACAACAACCACAGACATGTGCAGCAATTATTAATCTAGGAATTCGGAACATCAAGCTGATGCCGTCTTGAATATTGTAGTTGTTGTGAAGCGTGATCGACACACGGGCAACTCACATTCTTTCAACGAGTCAACCTCACCTTTAGTAGCCCAGGCATTAGATAACAGCCATGAGAAGTACCAGTACACAGAGGTGACAAGTTGAGACTGTCCAAGGCATGGTGCTAGAAGCTATGGGTGTCCAAAATGGCGGCAGCAGCAGCCGACACAAACTTATCTAAAGAGAGACTTGGACCCATTCAGACAGAGTCTGAGGTCCCGCATCTCACACTAAGGCCATTTACACCCTATAAACAATTGCTTTGAAATTGCAGCTTCTGCGGTGTCGGAGGAGGAGCCGGCGCTTTGAACGCAAAGGGAGACACCAGGGAAGTGGCCGGACTGCTTGCAGGCGGCCTTGGCTTGTGCCAGCATATACAGATCCACCAGCAACACTTGCTCTCCTTACAAAACAGCACTTTCTCATTTGTTCTTTTTGGTAATATGCCCAATGAATCTTCCGATGAGTGCTGGGTACCCGCATCAACCCAAGCGCCTAAGTGCCAGGCCGGAGCAAACCTCCTTCCCCGTACTGGGCTTCGCTCTTCTTTGGAGTGGAGAAGCCAGCAAGGCGGCTTGCAAGGCCCTGGTAAAGTTGTAGGATCTGCATGATGCAAACAAAGCGCTCTCGTTCCTCCTGATCAGAAACAACTGAGAACCGTAAAGGGATGCTTCCAAGCAGCAGTTCTTTTAGATTCCAACCTTAATCAGACTCATGCTTGATATTTTAGATTCCCTGCACAGTGGATGCGTCTAGCTTTTCACCATGACCCGTCATATTTCATGCGCTGCTTCACAGCAGTGTTTTTTCGGGCACAAAGGTGTTGACACTTGACACCCAGTTCTGCCGATACTGCCACAATACCCATGTGGCACGAAGCATAGACAGTTTTAAACATTCGTAGATACTGCACCACCCAAAAATTGTTGTTTGATTGCATAGACCAAAAACCTGCAAGCTCTGCCGGTTTTGCCCATCTGCCCTCTCCTCACTACCAACCACGAGAATCCAACGTCCAGCTTCCCCAGCAAGGATGATGGATCGCATGAGATCACAGGCCTCCCCGCACTTCGCGGACTGCGTGGCATCCTCGTGGGCGCTGCGCACCAAAAGGTCACGGATGTTCCAGGATACCAAGAATGCCTTCTCAGGAGCAGCGCTCCGCAGTTCCTGAGGAAGGGGTGTCACGAGGTTTTATTCAATCAATTCAACGTCCCAACAGGATCAAACAGGCGAAAAAACTACCTGTTTCAACACAACCATTGGAAGCTGGAGCCCTCAACCAACGGTATGGCAAACCAGGAGGATGAAGTGGGAGAGCTTGGTTGTATTTGGTCCTTGTGAAGCAATGCGCCAAGCGGGCCTGGTCACTTCATGTCTGAATCCACTATTTCATGAGCATCTCAGCTCATCAACACACAACCTGGATACATGCGCTGAGAATCTGCCACTTGAGCAAATCGCTGTTACACCAAAATTTGCTAAGCTCCAAGAAGCCAGCTTTGATGCCCTGTCCAAGAGCCGATACTCAGCATCTTGAAACCCTTCTGCTCCGCCAGCGCGGCAAAGCTGGCCTGTCTGCTTGATGACTTTGGTTGTGACGCGATGGCATCAGTTTGTCTGTATTCAAACCAGGTGGGACAAACATGTTTGGGATGCTTTGGATTGGTTGGGAAGGCTGCGAAAAATAGATAAATATCTAAATCAATAAATGAAAAAAAAACTCATGCGTTCTGCTGGAGACCTTATTTCGCTTGCTGCTCAGCGCAGCCATCGGAAAACCTTGGACCAAAATAGATCCGTGGAGCAAAGGCAGAGGAGCAGTACATGGCATCTATAAGGAAAAACTACTAGTAACAAGAAGCTACTAGGTTGGAGGCCATTGCTACTAGGGTGGAGGTCATCGCTAGTAGGTTGGAGGCCATCACTAGTAGCAAGAAGCTACTAGAAACATGGCATCTATCGCAAGATTAGCATTGCCCCTCCCAACAAAACCCTGTGCACATCAGCCACCTGCCTTCACTGGATGCATGGCGCACCTTGGACAAAGGCATGTCCCAGTCCCGGCCGGTCCTTTTCTGATAGTGGAGGAGCTCGTAAACCAAGTGGTGGATGGAGCACGGTCCGAAACACTTTCGAGTCTGACGCAAACAGGCAATCAACAATCCCTGTCTCGCATGCGCCTCCCTCCAAACCCATCCACCCTAGACCCGAGCTAAACATTGAAACTAATAGCTTCTTGTTACTACTAGTAAGGCACTTGTTACTACTAGCGAGGCACTTGTTTCTAATAGCTTCTTGTTACTACTTATGCCCTGGCTTCGCTTGAACTGTTCCGTGAAAGGTCGGAAACATCGCCGAGAATCGAAGTTGCAAACAAGCTCCTGCAAGCGCTCTCGCTGAGAGTCGGGTCTCTGGATCTCCTTGGATTCCAAATCATAACGTGACAGAGGTGTAGCTTTAAACTTTACATGCTTCCGACATACTGCACACTGCGCCTCTATAACTACCTTCTCTGCGCCTCGGAGATTCTTTGACTCCCTTCTTTGACCGATTCTACGCGCCATAGGTATGCACAAAGCTACCCCTGCTGGTGGCGCCCCGGAATCACCACGCAGCGCTGGAGAGCAGCAACAGCTCAAGCAAGCCATGGCTTCATGGCCTCACACCCTCTGCCCGCCCAGTTGCAGGGAACTAGTGCACTTATGAGTTTTGTACGATCTTCACATCCTCACAAAAATCGAAGAAAACAAACTGGGGCTGGCTATCGAGGCTGATATTGTAGGTTGTCGTTGGAAAGAAACCTGTTGGAAGTTCCAAGTCACGACTGACACCAGGGTCTTGCTTGATGAAAATCCCACCTGTTTTATCTGCTGCACTTCTTCGGTGTGGTTGCATTGACCCTCGAGTGTCAGCGTGGCCTTCAAAACCCAGCCACGCCACAGAAGAAGAGTCAAAGGCACTTTTGACTGGGTGGATCGACTTTCTGGGAAGTTCCTTCTCAACAACAGAAAACTTGCCTGCTTGCTCTGTGCACAGAAGTTCACAGAAATATGGGCTCACGAGTCACGAGTATTCTTCTTGAGAAACCCGAATCGCCAACTCAATCTATCAAACTGTTGGAATGGCGCTAGCGGACCCTACTAGGAGCAAGAAGCTACTAGGTGGAGGCCATCGCTATTAGGTTGGAGGCCATTACGACTAGTAGCAAGAAGCTATATAGTAGGAACGTCGTCCAATTCGACAATGGAGAGAGAGACTATGACTCTTGAGCGACTCTTCCAGAATTCTTGGAGAGTTTTAATCGCTCGGACTGTGTCCGGGCTTCCCTGTAGCACTGAGGGAGTGGCGCCCATGGACAAGTAGCAAGACTGCGGAGGTTCTTCACAAGGTTATCTTCATTGTGGCACTTTGCCTGGGGCGCTGTAACTGTGAACACTCACTCAAAAGAAAAATGCTCTGTGCTGGATAGAAGGTGTCAAAAGGCTCAAAAATGTCGAGACAGACTTCAATTGGATCTTTGCGCCTCTTCCACCACACGTGCCAGTATTTGCACAGCACCACCTCACCACAGAAGGTGCAGAACCCGACTGGTGCCTCTCAAAACGAGCTTTCCAGCCGCCCTGGCCTTCGCGTGCTACGGGTGAGGCATGATCTTCTATGAAGGAGAATGCCTCGTGAAGTGGACTGTGCGGGTGACACAAGCGCTCTACCGACGCGTTTGTGTAAACCTGGATAAAGCTGGGTAAACGCACGTAAACACTTTCTAATATACTGGCAGACAGTGAGAGCTGAGGCAACGTCCCAGGCCGGATGTCGAGCAGATTCGGCCATTGATAGGTCAACCTGCACAGTCTGGCGTTGGAAAAAAGCAGCTCAGTCCTAGACTTTCTTTGTTTCGCAACAGGATGCAACCTTTTCCCGAACTTCATGGGTGAAGCTGTACAGCTGTACACACGAAGGCATCACAACCCCATCAAAT